CTTTCCTTCCTATGGCCGCTTGGATGATACCCATGCATTCAGCCTGGAAGACTGTGTTGTGGGTACCCAGCGGTGTGCATATGTGGATATTAAGGTCTTCAGAGAAAGCCCCAGATCCCACACCTTCATTTCTCTTAGAGCCATCCGTGAAAACTTTGAGCTCTCTTGGACCCAATCCTTCTAGATGGTCAGTTTCCTTCAATTGTATCCTGTACTTCTTATCGAATACAAATTGTTTTGGGATCCTATTGTTACGCGCCTAAGTCGACGGCACTAGCGCCATCTAGTCTCGAACCGAAGAACTAAACTTCTTGTAGTTGAAACTCGAACTCTCGGTACCTTGCGCGTGTTTACTTGAATATTCTGGATATTTCGGTGCTAATTTATATTTATAGGCGCTGCAAGATACGATCGGGGAAGTATTGAATTCGGCGAGACAAGCGAAGCTTCGGAGCGAAATAAAGTGAATAATTATTAGTGTTTTAAGCTTTAAATTGTGTAAAGAAAATTAAAGTGTTAATTTAGGTAATTTTTTCGGCAATTTTTATTGTCACGAACCTCAAACTCGTAACACTATCATACTTGGCTTGTAAGATAGGAATTTTTGAGTAAATTCTACCGATTATATCTGTATGGAGGACTCTACTCTTACTTTAAGATTTTTTACGATTAAGATTTAGGGTCTTGAGTCTAATGGCAGCTAAAGTTGCTTCTTGTTGTATATGTAGATGAAGCGGTGTTAGCACCAGCATAGCCTCCAAAGCTGCTGTTGGTGTAGTCCTTATGCAGCCCGTGGCAGCCATACATGCCAATCTATGGTAACGCTGAAGCTTTCGTATAGGGGTGGCTTCATTGATTTTGATCCACCATACCAGAGAGCCGTACGTGATCATGGGCCGAATTAAAGTGTTTTTACAGCCACAGTATAATTTTTGGCGTCAAACCCCATCGTTTGCCAATCATGCTTCTGCATTGCAAAAAGTTAAACTAGCTTTGCTGATTTTGTTTTCTGTGTGTTTGTTCCAGTTAAGTTTACTGTCCAACGTAAGACCTAGGTATTTTACCTCGGAGGAAAGCTGGAGTTTTGTGTTGAAAAGACTTGGAAGATGATAGTTATTCAGCATTCGTTTTTGTGTGAACATTACCATAACCGTCTTTTTGGATTAACGGTTAGTTCATATTCCCTGCACCATCTCTCCACAATACGGAGAGCCGCTTGGTTCAGGTCACACACAATGCTTGCTGTCTTACCAGAGACCAGTATAGTCAGATCATCTGCATAACCGACTGTGTAGAAATGGTTAGCGTTTAATTTGCTGATGAGTTCATTAATGACCATATTCCACAGGAGAGCTGAAAGAACCCCACGCTGCGGGCATCCTTTCATTATCTGAATTGTCTGAGATTCACCAACAATCTTTATTGTTCGTGTACTGAGCATGTTTACTATCCAGTCAATCAGTGCCGGTTCAACACTATGTCTACTTAGGGCACCTTTTATGCTGGAGAAATGTGTTCTGTCAAAAGCACCTTCTATGTCTATGAAGGATCCTAGACATATTACTTTGTTTTTGATGGCCTCTTCAATCTTTGTTAACCACTTGAACGTCCAAATGACGCGGCAACAATACCCTTGGACGTCCCGGCCCCGGTCGTTGATGTTTTTATACGGTCGGATCGCGACCAGTTCGACTAAAACGGTTACTCTTTACCTATATCAGAATAAAAATCATCCACAAAAAGCTAATGAAATGCAGAATTTAATTATGATAATAATAATTTACTTAATTGACGTACAACAGGTAAAAAATGACAACGTTTATTAAACACTATTATTTGAGCATGAGTATATATAAAATACAATTAAAAAATATGTTTACAAAAACTTTATTTTTCTTAAATATAAATATGTAAATGAAACTTATTTTTTTCTTTCTTATTTTCAAAAATTTTGTTTAAAATTGTATGTATAAATAAATTCATTAATTTAATATTATATATATATATATATATATATATATATATATATATATATATATATATATATATATCCATTATTTTCTTAATGTTTTACCATAACCGTTGAATGAAAAGAGAAATATCATAAAATTATACCAATAAAACAGCAAACACAATTATATGTTATATACAACGCTATTTAAAATTAATTAGCGAAATTTTTCCAAAAATTAAAAAAGATGTCTGATCCCAAAAAGAATGGTTTCGGAATATATCCCCGATACTGATCCTATCGCCGGAGTTTCTGTAATGTTGTATAACGGTGCAGTGCCAAATTAAATAAAAAAACAGCCATATATTGTTTATAACTATACCTATAAAACAAACAACCATTTATATGTTAAAAAGGTGCAGTGCCAAATATAATAAAAAAGCAGTCACGAAAAATCATGTTAAATACAATCGTAATTTCTCGTTTGTCCCTAATGAACCCTTAATATGACACATATCATAAACGTTACGGGCGGCTGTAGTCACCCGTACATTAAACCTGGGGAACAAAATACAAAAACGTAAAATCCTTACTACTTTCACTATTTTCCTTTCACTTAAGTGTATTTAAATATAGTTAATAACCTGTTTTACTAATTATAAGAAATATTTTATTAAAATAAATAATATACAATACAAGAACTTAACGAAAAACCAACACACAAAGGCGAAGTTATCGCATGTCGACTTCATCACATATAAAAACATCATAACAGACTTTGGATTTATAAAACTTAAAGATATACGAAAAGGAAACATCCTGAGGACTATTTTCATATATAACACTAGTACAAAAGTATAATAAATGTATTATTACTTACATTTTAAATGAAGAACTCACAGTAACACCGGCCACTACACAAAACTTGACACAACGCTTGTTTCTTTTTTTTTTTTTTAATGCCATCTGTTAACTGGCATGGACCTTTTACTAACCCATAGACGCGTTTTTTAATATAGAGCCATCTAGTATAACATTCATAAAGCTTTTTGTAACATTCTACAGATCAAAAGTCGTTTAAAGTTTAGAAGTCAGAGAGGCCGCTCTAGTCGCCCTAACGTTCAACCGGAAAAAGTTTTAGGCGACTATGGTCACCAGGACGTTTGAGTGGTTATTATCTGGTGAAGTGCCGATTCTGTTGATTTACCTAAGCTATAGACGTGTTGTTTTTCGTGTAGCGGTAAGTTAATTAGCGCCGACCCTCTCAACTCTCGTTCACACATCCTTTCCACCGTCTTTAGGAGAAAGGATGTGAGGCTAATGGGTCTGTATGATTTAGGGTCTGTATAGTCGTTCTTACCTGGTTTGGGTATGAACGTGACTTTCACTTCCCTCCATCCCCTAGGAACATATTTAAGAGCCAGACATGCTCTCATTACGGCAACAAGTCCTTTGACTTTACCCCCCCCCCCCACTGTAGAAGTGCCGGGAATAAGCCGTCAGGTCCTGCTGCCTTATAGGGTAGGAAACTGTGAATAGCCCAATGGATTTTGTCCATCGTCACCACTGTTTGTGCTAATTCCCAGTCTTCTTTTGTTGGTGTCAGTGCATCTTCATGCCAGCTCACCCTTTCAACTACACAGCAACCTGGGATGTGAGTATCAATTAGGATGCGTTGGGTTTCATCCTGCGATGTTGAGTAGCTTCCGTCGGGTTTCTTTAAAGAGATAGATCCCGGCGTGTTCTGTTTAGCTAGGATTTTTCTTATCCGATTTGCTTGTTCACAGGTTTCTATGCTACCACAGAATTTGCGTCACCCTGTTGAGCGTCGATACCTGATACATTTTTTGTATTCAAACTTATCTTTCTTATATAGAAGCCAGTCTTCATCCAGGTATTCATTGCCCTATTTAGGGCTTTTCTTACCTTCTTACATTTCCTGTCTAGTTCTTTACCCCCAGGCACCACGGTTGCTTTTGTTTAGCATATTTTGGTGGAGTGATTACTGGACATGATTCATGGTAGCTATCGATTATTGCTTTAGTGACAGCTGCTACCTGTTCTTCTAGGAGCGATTGATCTGCTATGGTATTTAACGCACAGCACAGATATTTGACAGATTTCATAGTGGCAAAGTTAATTTGTTCGAAAAATGTAAAGGTTCATATTTCTTTCTGTACCATTAATTATATTTAGTATTAATTAGATTAAAAAGAAATAAACCAAACCACAGATATTCATAAAAATAGGAAATACAAAAAAAATATTAAAAATGTGCAAACAGTGAATGAACAAACCACAGAGGCATTGTTTTGTGTATTAATATAATACTCTAGAAACTGATAAACTTTTAAGTGATATTAAGTGGGGCAATATTCAACAACATAAACTGGTGGGGTCTATCGCATATATTCATCATCATCATTGCAGACCTTCACAAGTCCACTGTTGAACATAGGCCTTCCCCAAGAAATTCCACAAAGCATGATCCTGAGGCACCTGCATCCACGGACTTCCTGCATATCTTGGTATTTATTTAGCAACTTGTGATAACAACTGCACTAGTACTGAAGAAGTGCAGCCCCATCCAAACTTGCATAACAAGTAGTAAGCACTCATGCTCACCTCAACACTTTTGGCTTGTCACTGCAGAAGGACTGCACTCTTTCCAGGCCTCTAGTTTACTAAAACACTAGGGGTAGAATAAATGGGTACCACATGAAATTAGAGTTGGCTCATTCTATTCTGTAACAGTTTTGAAATTCATAAGTGAATTAAAAAAATTCTTCACATCACTTGACAATGTTAACTCTAAAGAAGCCTAGATACATGGTGTTGTGTGATAAGTAATGAATATAAAATTTATGTAAATAAAAACAATTTTAAAAACAAACATCTTATAATGTTCACACTTCCACAGTATATTATTTTAGGCCAGTTAGAGGCTGTATAAGATAATTTACCACCCCATATCATTCTGTACGCGTTTTAGGTGGGTACAGAAAGAAATAAAACAGGAGATGAGCAGTGCTGCTGCTCATCTCCTGTTTTATTTCTTTCTGTTCTGTTTCTGTGAAAGAGAAAGTTGTACTTGAGCTCGCTGTCCTGATACTCGTGAAATTTTTAACTTTCCCACTTCGATGTTCCCAGGTGCCTTTTCCCATTTATTAGCTATATATTTAGGCACTTTAACAAGCCATACTCCTCTTCCTGTATTCGATAAATCTAATTCACGATCAATGTGAGGAACAACTTTAGTACTAGTCATTTTATGTTTACTTTGTATGTCTGTATAAATATGTAAGTAAGTCCTTAATCTTTCACGATTTTCAATTACTGTGCAGTACGTTTGTTTCGTTAACTTCAAGATCGGCTACATAGATTGCTGATTGCTGAATAATGAATATATACCAATATATACTAGATTAGATAGATAGGTATACAAAACAAAACTTCCAGCGATAAAATCAAAACGTACGTTCTGTCAGGTGGATACAACCAAAGACTACAATAGAGTCGATTACGTGGTACAGAGAAACAGTAGAAAAGGAAGGTGATCGATCTCGAGGGGGGTAGTGGGGCTAACGGCACCGCCCAGAAGCAGCAGGATAGTTTTCTTCACGTTAGGCAGGTTGCAGCACCTACAGTTTGCGACCTCAATAAAAGGTACAGCCCAAGGTGCTACGGCTGTGGGGAAAGGGGCCATATTCGACCCAGCTGCCCTAAGCTATCTGTAAAAAGGGAAGGTGATTGATCTCGAAAGGGTAGTGCTTCTAACAGCACCGACCAGCAGCAGCAGGAATACGACTTTGCTATCGGACACTGCAGCGGGAAATGGCGTGGCAAGACAGATGCATCGTCAAAAAGTCCTTATCCTGATGATTGTGAGAATAGTACTAGGCAAGAGGGTAAGGAAGTGGTATCCGTGAGGATGCTCAGGACAGATCACCTCAGCAACGTGTGGAAGGACAGCTTACAACATGCACAGCAGGAAGATCCGGACATCAAGCCAATTCTCGAATGGATGAAGGCCCGTGCTACCAAGCCCAAGTGAAGCGAATTCTCAGCGATGAGTTCGACCACTAAAAGCTACTGGGCCCAATGGGACAGCTTGCTGATTCAGGAGGGAGTCCTGTGCCGTAAATGGGAAAATGGTCGAGGAGACAGCTGTCGTTTGTAAATGGTTGGCCCTAAAGCTAAAAGATGCCGGATGTTCTACAGCTGTACTATAATGGAGTCCATCTGGGACTTAAACGAACTCTACTGAAGATCCGATAACAGTTTTACTGGGTCCATTATCGTGACGATGTCGAGGATTAGTGTCGCACATGTACAAGTTGTGCGGCTATGAAGGGACCTCAGACTCGTAGTAGAGGAGCATCGAAATTGTACAATGTTTGTGCACCATGGGATAGGACAGCCCTTGGCGTTGCGGAGCCGTTTCGAAATGGTACAAGAGGTACTCGTAAGATCATTCATGTGGATCGACTGGCGCGTTATTATGGGGCCGATAATGATCCGCTCGGGACGAGCATGTCTTAGGAGGGGGCAGTGTTGAGCGCCTAAGTTGATGACTGGTACCTGGCACTAGCGCCATCTAGTGTCGGGGAACAGAGCGAGGCGGGCTTCCTAGAAAATGATTTCTCATGAACTCAATCTTGAACTTTCCACCAACAGCGCCATCTATTATCGAACAGAAGAATTAAGCTTTCTAGAAGGGTCAACTCTCGAACTTTCTGTCACACTTTATGAGCATGCCGACCTAATTAGTGAATGCCCATAAAGTATGACATTGACAGGTACTGTCTGTACTACTAAGAAATTCAGGACTTCATAGGTGTGATTTTACTGACAGCTGTCGCAGAGATCAAGCTATCTTTTATGAACCATATACACAATCATAAGAAAAATAAAACAAGATGCACAAATTAAAAAAATAGTACAATAGACAAATATAGGCAATTTTATAAAAAAAAACTTAAATATCCAATATCTTGAAAACGGTTAAGTTTGATGTATGGTGTTACTGTTGTTTTTAGTAGGTAATGATGCAAACTACAACCCCCTAAAGGATCTAGGTCAACTTAACATGTAACCCTGTATATATATTTTTTTTATTTATTAAACTTAGGACCACAAACAAGTTCACAATTATTAACTTATCTAATATAATTACTACACATTTTTTATTATTGTGAACTCAGCAACGCTGGTCACTTACTTAATTATAACATTTTTCCACAATAAATAAAGCTTGTTACATAGTACTACTTGACATTGACAATATCTTGTTATTCTTAATCTAGAAGTAAAATCTAAACACAGTATCGACTGACAAATATTGTAGGGTTATGGTAGGATATATGACACCACTGATCATTAGTTTTTTTTAAATGGTCGTGTCATATATTCCATTATCTACTCAATGAGTACTTGTTTAAATTTCTCAGTGACAATCTTCTTATAATTACCTCGTCCAATGGCATTAATATCGATATCATTAAAATTCTCATTGTACGAGTGCATCATACGTGATAAGGAGGACCTTCGTCCCGCGTTAGTTCGGCATAAATTAATACAGAAAAGTTTATGAGGATAGGCCACGCGCTGATGTGCTCTGGTAGGTACCCTATAATTTATATTCTCAGTTATATCCATACAGTCGTATCTATTGTGACACAGATCATAAAATAACATTGCCTCGAGAATTTTACGCCTTGATTTAAGAGTGGTAAGATTATATTTTGCCATGAGTTCATTGTACGGTATTTTTTTTCTCCCATATTTATAATGGATATATTTAAGAAATTTCTTCTGCACAATTTCTAGTTTATCAATATATTTTTTATATAGAGGATTCCAAATAGTCACTGCAAACTCTAAATGACATCTTATTAATGATTTATAAAGATGTAAGTAAGTCAACGGATTTTTAAACATATTACCAGATCGGATGACGAAACCATACATCTTATAAGCTTTGTTAATAATATTTTCAATGTGTATACTTAGATGTAGTTTAGTGTCTAAAGTTACTACAAGATCCCTGATTGCTACTTCTTGAGATAAGGGGGGTACCACATAATAAACAAATAATAGATGCAAGAGCTGGGTTTTTTTTCTTTTTTGTAAAAGTTATAGATTTACATTTGTTAAGACTGAGTTCTAACTTATTTCTATTACAGTACGATGTAAAACGGTTTAAATCATCCTGGAACTCTAAATGGTCATTAGTGTTGTTGATAATTTTATATACCTTTAAGTCATCAGCATATAAAAGGAACCTACTTGAATGGAAGCACATATTTATGTCATTTATAAATATTATAAATAGAAAAGGACCAATAATAGATCCTTGTGGCACGCCCGAAGTAATCGGTACACATTCCGATTCATGACCCCTAATAACCACTTTTTGCATTCTGTTTGAAATGTAAGACTTAAACCACCGCCATAGATACCTCTTATTCCATCATAGCCAATTTTTTCTAGTAGCATTTTATGGTCGACCCAGTCAAATGCCTTGCGAAAATCTGTGTACACACAGTCAACTTGCTTACGTGCATCGAGAGCTTCAAATAGGAAGGTCGAGTAAATAATTAAATTAGTCACAGTGGATCGATTCTTAACAAAGCCATGCTGCTGTGGCAATATAACGTTACGTAAGAGCGGATAAACGGCGTTATGTACTAATCGTTCAAAAATCTTCGCCAATGTAGGTAGGTAGTATGGAGATGGGTCTATAATTTTCAACTTCTTTCTTAGACCCTCCTTTGTGTACGGGCACTATTCTAGCAGTTTTCCAGACTTTGGGAAAAATTCCACATTGCAAACATTTATTATACAGGAGGCATACCGGTTCACCAATAACCTCAGCAGTTGCTTTTAGAAACAGCATGGACATTGTCCACCCCGGCACCCTTCGTTACATCTAACATCTTTAATTGGTTAGTGACTTCAAGTTTTGTGAGTTTGATGTCGTTTATAAGAATATCAGGTGTTTTAGTATCATCAACAATGATATCTTGGATATCAGTCATCAGTGAACATAGTTGGCTCAAAAACCGAATGAAAAAAGCTAGAGAATATTGAGCATCCTTCGTTAGGACCTGTAGCCACCCTATCTTTAAAAGTAACAGTACTCGGTATGTCAGAGATCTTTTTACGATTTTTCAAATAAGTCCAAAAGAATTTACTGTTATCCCTAATACTACTCTCTACTTTACTAATATAGTTATTATAGCAACACTCTGAAACTTTTTTGAATTTATTCCTGTATATGGAAAAGATATTGTAATTCGATTCACTTCGATATTTTTTCATTTTTGTCCAAGCCTTGTTTTTTTTTATTGTATATCAGAATTAATTCAGGCGTAAACCAACAAGGGAAACGATTAGGTTTGACTTCTTTGATTGGCACATGTTTTTTTAATAATTTTGTAAATTGTCTCATAAAAGCACGCAACAGCATCTTCGGCATCTTTGTCCAAAAAAAGATTTTCCCAATCGATTTTTATAATTTCATCTTTTATTTTATTATAGTTAGCCAATCTATAGCATTGTCGAAATGTTATATTACGTTCTAGGTATTTTTGTGATTCTAATAATGTAATGAAAACTTCAAAAGGGGGGGTGAAGAGCATCGGGAGGCACCAACGGTGAGGTCACTGATGATAGGCTGCACTTAGTTGTATTTGTTATAGCTAAGTCTAGGATTCTGTTATTTTTATTAAGAATATAGTTCATCTGATGACCGTTTATTAGTGATATAAAATTAATTAGGCACCAGCACGAGGGATTCAAGTTCAAATCTATTATAGGTACAAGGGCCTGGCCGGTATTATTCCAGCCAAGATTCGGCAGATTAAAGTCACCAATTATAATAAAACTTGCAGTCGATCCAGATAATTGGTTTTGTAATAAATTAAGAAAACTATCATATGTGTCAAATTTATTAATTTTGATTAGGTGGGATATAGACGGCTGAGAGAATATAAACATACGAGGGTGGATTGAAAAGTACTCGGCCTAACCAAGAAAATAAATACATACTAAATCAGTTATATTTTTATTTTTCTACATAATCACCATCAAGTTCAATACACTTTTGCCACCTCCCCTTCCAAGCATTTAGACCGTTGAAAAAAAATGATTCTTCCTTAGAGTCAAAATATGCGTCTACAGCTGCTTTGACCTCGTCGTTTGTCGAAAATCTTTGACCTCCTAAGTGCTTTTTTAGGTTAGGGAACAGAAAGAAGTCTGATGGTGCCAGATCAGGTGAATACGGCGGATGCGGTAACAGTTCAAGGCCACAGTTGTGAATTTCAGCCATTGACTGTACTGACGTGTGAACACGGGCGTTATCTTGATGAAACAGGACTTTTCTTCTGAGCATTCCTCGACGTTTTTCTTTTATTTCCTCTCGTAAACGACGTAGTAAGGTGCAGTAGTAATCAGAGTTTATAGTCTGACCCCTTTCAAGATAATCAATCATAATCACACCTTTCGAGTCCCAGAATACTGAAGCCATCACCTTATTTGCCGACAAAATCGACTTAGCCTTTTTAGGCGGTGGTGAACCAGGTCTTCTCTACTGTTTTGATTGTTGTTTTGTTTTCGGTGTACAGTAATGAACCTATGTTTCGTCCATAGTAACAAAACGATTCAAAAAAATCATCTGCATCGGCTTCAAATAACTCCAAACATTCGCGTGAAATAGTCAATCGCGTCCTTTTTTGTTCAACTGAAAGCAGTCGCGGAACCCACCTCGCAGACACCTTGTGGAAACCCAACTCGTTGACAATGATGTTTTGAGTTCGTTCATAAGAGATGCCTATAATCTCGGCTATCTCTCTAATTTTTAATCTGCGGTCTCCCATTATTAAATCAAGTACTTTTTTATTATTATCGTCAGTAGTTGACGTCGAAGGCCTTCCAGAGCGGGGTTCATCTTTCACACTCTCTCTACCACGCTTAAATTCTGCTATCCATTTTTTGACGGATTGATATGACAGAGCACAATCGCCTAATGTACTGACCATGTCATCAAGGATGGCTTTTGATGATAGCCCCTTCTTATGGAGGTACATAATGACGGCACGCTGCTCGATTTGCTCCATTCGCGGAAATTATGTCCGATTACTTTGTAAATAAATTTATAAAATCACAACTAATTATCGCACACGTTTCGAACTTCACACAATGAACTAGTCTGAACTGAACTAAATAATGTGGGTAGATTTGATTTTTAGAATTGATTGGATCTGTGTTAGGCCGAGTACTTTTCAATCCACCCTCGTAGTTTGCAATGCATAACTCTAGTAATAAAAAATCAATAAGAGGCGGGAGGGGCTCAAAGTCATGCATCAGCGTTTCAAGACGAGCTACAGCACAAAGCGAACGGTGCACCGCTATCAGCATGCCTCCGCCGTCTTGCCGGCCGGTCGTTGCACGATTTCTGTCTTTTCTAAAAATATGATACCTATCGTCTATAAATTCATTGTCGCTGATATCCGCGTGTAACCAAGTTTCCGTTAATACGATTATGTCGTATGTATGAGAGATAATATTCATATAAAGAGTATGTAGTTTAGTACGTAATCCTCGACAATTTTGGTAATATACAGTTAACATATTAGAATTGAATTTTTTTTTATTGTATTATAACAAGTAAGTAAAACCGTTCTGTGCAATATGCGGATAGAAAATGTTGTGAGATATAAATAAAATATTAAGAACACAGAGCCACATTGTGGCATGATTTAATATGCGATATAGCCAAATACTTTTAGATAAATTATTATTGCCATCATACAATAAGATCACAAAAACTTTTATTATGTATATACGAGTAGAATTATGAACGTGTGGGTTAGACAATGGTGAATAATTATTACATAAGTTATCATAACAATAAGGTGAATTCTTAATATTATTAGGGCTTAATTTTATTAATATCTTGTTCATTACGAATTGAGAATATGGGAGAAGTGTCGTTTTGACGAACCAGTATGGTACCATGTTTAATCCAGACAAATTTGTAATTGTTTTTTCTGGCCACTTCACGACTGAGTAGAAATAATTTCTTATTTTTGGGTGTCAGGTGTTCATTGATGTAAATATTTCGCGAGGTACCTGATATCAGTAGTTGATCTGATTTGACACTTTTTACTACCCGCGCAGCAGCAATCACGTTATCCCGTATTATTTTGGTGGAGAATTTCACGATGACATTTTTCGGGTGGGGATTTTTTTTATCCATATGCGGCACTCTGTGCACTGATACTATGTCGGCAGGATTAATAGGGTGCTTAATAATTGAGCCAATGTTTTGAAGTACAGCTATCAAATTTTCATCACGACGTTCTGGGAGGTTGACAATTTCTATATTAGACTGCCTGACCTGTTGCTCCATCATGTCTATTTTAGATTCCAGCATTGATAACTGAGTGGAGACTTCTTTACGCCGAGGAATCCTCTTACATCGTTTTTAAACGAGCGTCAAAAGCATCTTGCCTATTACTCATATAGTTTACCGAATCATGCATATCGTTTAACCGAAGATTAAATTGATTCAGGGTATCATTAATGGATGTTGTTAATTTGCAAATTTCTCTCTCAAGTACCAGATTTACGGCATTTTTAACAGAGTCTGTGACTACCGCCTCAATGCTAACTTTAAATCAATATTTATCGACTATGTCCCAAATTATGATTTAAAATGCAATCAACTTGCTACAATTAAATTTATTTGTACTAAACTATAGTACAAATTGTCTAGGTTGTCTATATAAATATAATGTTTTGTCATTTTGTGACTAAACCCAAAAGGACTCAAATTAGTATAAGAATTAATGTGTTAAAAAAGAAACTTAAAAGCATGAATATAGCAAATGAGAAATATTCAAAAAGACTTAAGAAGGCAATTAATCTATCAGAATTACTACTTTCTTGAAAACAATTAAAAGTTTACCTCAATGGCAACAATTTTTACCTACCAACCAAATAAAATACCTAAAATGAAAGTCAAGCATGCAACTGAAATTTTCAGTGAAATTTGTATCCAAAAAGGGTAATGTTGGTGTGGTTCCATCAATAAGTAACTATCTAACGTATCCAGTTATCCTACAGTATGACTGAAAATTTGAGTTGTATGCTTGACTTTCATTTTAGGTATTTTATTTGGGTCACAATGAGATTCAGTTAGCTTTATCCAGGCTTAGTACTGGCAAACACTGGCAAAGTAATAGTACTTAGTAGGTACTTACCTAATTAAAAAAACTATCAGTCTGCTTTTCTTTGGCGCATTTAAAAGATTGGTATATTTACAATGATCTATTATCAATAATATTTGTTATTTAATTTTTTTTTTTGTTTTTTGTAATTTTTTGTTGTTTTTTTTCTGCAGAAATATCAACATTTTCTTGCTCGCTGTACCCAATTATTGGCTACAATTGACGTTTAAAAACATTAGTTGTTTAACTTTTGCAATTCCTGGACGAGTGCGTCTTTCAGTTACCATGGTACCAGCTCGTGAAAATACCCTTTCACAAGGCGCTGATGTTGCTATCACACTACATTTATTCAGAACTAATTTTGCCAAATTTGGGTAAACATGATCAAGATTTTTCCACCATTGAAGTGGAGTGTCATGCATTTCTGATCCCATTAGAAGGATGTCGTCGTCCAGGTACCTTTGAACCTCCGCAATCGCTCTTGATAACGGGGTTCCTTTAGGCTCTATTTTGGCAATTGCTGTCCTATATATATATTCCATATGGATGGTTCAGTATCTCTTGTGTTTTGTGTCGTAGCTAGTGCTGGAGTTGTTGGTTGTTTTGCCTTTGCAATTGTCTCAGCCACTAAATCTATAACATTTTATTTTGTTTCTTCAGCCTGACGTTATGGGAACATGAAAATTTTAAATCGGGGATCTAAAAAGGTCGATAACGCAAGCGTTCTACTAAATTCCAGATTACGAAATCTTTCAGAAGTTTCCTTTTTTAGCCTTTTCAAAACCACTTTGACAACATCATGCAGACCATCTCTTAATTCCAATGTATCTAGTGTTCCCAAAAGGCCCTGCGTAATTGGAATCACTTCTCCACCCATGAAATATTTTTCTCCACTCATGCGCGTAGATACTTCATCGAAGGGTTTAAGCACGCACTGCAAATCTTGAATATTTATCCAATCATTTTCTTCAAGATATGTACCTTTGAAGTTGCTGAGTAGAAGTGTTGCAGTTACAGCCTCTCTAAGTTCAGCAAACCGCTGCAGCATATGAAATTCAGAGTTCCACCGAGTTTCCAGAGATTGAGTAAGTTTTTTTTGCTGTTTTCGCCTCTGATTGTTGTACTTGATATTTTACAAACTTTTCTGTGGCCAAAGCGCTACGTTTGTAAAAAGCTACAATGGTCTTCACTTTGGTGATCGTCTGTTGCAAATTTTCAACGTTTAATCCACTCTTGACAATTAAATTTAAACAATGTGCATAACATCCAAAATGGCGCCAATTCAGCTCACTCGTGATAGCGGAAACTATATTACTCGCGTTGTCAGACACAACAATGGTTATTTTGCCTGTAACGTTACAAGTCGATGCACATGTCCTTAATTGACCTGCTAAGTTTATGGCGGTATGATGTCCATGGAGTACTTCACACTGCAGGAGAAGTGACTTCAAAATGTAGTTTTGGTCGATATAATGAGCTGTTATGGCCATATATGACTCATTTGCTTTTGATGTTCAACAGTCGGTAGTAAGGCATACACTAGTTGCTTCTTCAGTAATTTTTATTTTAGTTCCATTCAAAACTTGCTCGTACATTGATGGCAGTAAAGTGTTTGAAAGGTACTCTCACTACGACTAGGTAGTTGGTAAATGGGATTTAAACCATGAACAAATTCAACAAAGCCCTTGTCTTCCACAATGCTGAAAGGTTGAAAATCTAAAAAAGCCGCGAACATTTGTACCACCCTGGGGACTATGGTGGATTGGAGTCCAATTTCTTTTTCGCCATCTTCTTCGGAGTCCTCGTCGCTGCCTGTAAAATATAAGATAAAATAACCACATTGGCCGACTGTAATAATTTACGTTTTTTTTAAAATAATCTGTTACATAAGTAGTAACTTAATACAGTCAATTATTCTAAAAATAATTGACTGTATTAAGTTACTACTTATGTAACAGAATCAGTAACATGAGAGCTGATGTTTATAGAACACAGTACGGGTTTTATTTGTATTTTTATTAGCAGCTAAAGCAAAACTATTTTCCCTTACCATAATTAAGGGCGTTGGATATTTCAATATCCCTTAGAGGACGCGACGAAGATGACGAGGAAGTAATTCTAAAAGAAGAAAATAAATTATTAAGAATCAAAATATTAAGTAGACACTTCTGCACATAGAATATATATTTATTAATAGGCACTCACAGACGCCGTTTAGCCCCCATGTTATTGTGGTCCGATCTGAAAAAAATAATGTTGTTTTTTGATTTCTATCGTAATAGTTATATTCGAACAGTTAACAGTTCAAAGTCAAATACTATCAATATTTAATAAAGCAATAAAGGAAAAACTTACGCATTTCGCTTTCGGGACGTTGGAGTCCGATTAGGTGTGGAGGTTCCACTCCCTCCAACTTCAACGTGTCTGTAAAACATAAATAGTGTTAAAAATACGTTATTTTATGACCAGTTACGAAAAGTTTAGCTTCAAAATATGAATATAAGTAAAAACTTACAAAGCAGGTGAAGGAACTGAGCAAAGCTCCATATCAACTACTGCTGGTTGGGCCGCTGCAGCTCGGTCCTCCTGAGGGCTCAGCGGCTGGGTCGGGTGGTTGCCGGTGAGGTCCATGGACGACCACAACGACACCGGCACGGGACTAAAAAAGAAAGTTAAATTCAATGCCCTGCACGTGAATCGAGTAACAAAACCAACTTCGAAGTGCTTACCCTCGCCTTGCGGCAGGCAGTACTCGAGGTCGCCGCTGAGTCAGCGGCCGCTCTAGAGGCCTCCCCACCGGCAACTCCCCCACCATGCCACAGTAAACTCTAAAATATTAATGCAGAATATTAATGTTGCTAAAAAAAAACGAAGAAACTTGTTAGTTGTTAAATTTGTTATTACGGATCAACAGCAGAAGGCCTTTCGGTGTGGCCAGCACCGCTAGTGGGCCCACCACGCGTCCGCGCACCACCAGTGTGCGCATGCGCCCCTTCACCACCAGTGTGCCCATGCACCCCTTCACCACCAGTGTGCGCATGCGCCCCTTCACCACCAGTGTGCGCATGCGACCCTTCACCACCAGTGTGCGCATGCGCCCCTTCACCACCAGCGTACGCACCACGCCCACGCCCACGGCCACCACCACCACCACGTCCACCACTTTAAAGAAAAAAGCAAAAACAAAAAGCATGCAAACCAAAGAGAAAATAAACACAAAAAATGCAAGAGATACGCGAGACATGAATGCAAAAGGTGCCCTTAGAGCTAATTTAGTAATGTCCATGCGTAACTTTTTTAACTTACTATAAGACGTCTAGAAAATATGTAAATATTATTTTTGGAGAAATTTTTTGAAAAAAAAAAATTGGTTGTCAAAGTTAAAAATAAAATTATTTATTTTTAAATTTATCATCGTGCAACAAACACTTTTTGTCCCAAACAATTTTGGGCTTGGACGCTCTTCAAATGCCTTTATCTCGGCCCAGGTTCGTCTAAGTCCAAAATTGTTCAGGAAAAAATTGTTTGTTTGGGTGCCCCCCCCGACACGACGCAAACGAAGAAAAAAGAAAAAAGAAACAAAAATGCTGTATTTTTATCTTGGTACCTACTTGGTACTTCAAATACCTAAATATCTTTGCTCAGGTTCATCCAAGCCCAAAACTTTTTACGACAAAAAGTGTTAGTATATGCGCCCTCTACATGATGCAAACATAAAAAATAAAAAATTACAAAAATTCTGCTAAGTTTTTTCGCTCCCATATTTTATATTTATTTATTTTATTTATTTAATATTCTTTATTGCACACCATACAAAGCATACAGAAATGACATACTACAAAAAAGTATGCAACTTCCACTATATCTCCACAGTAACTAAATGTTTATGCAATTAAAAGTGATGTAACATTACATGCAAAATATTTAAAAATAACTTCAAACAGAAAATACAAAAGCGTATCTATAATTTCTAGCATGCCCGACATGCCGCCGTTATGACGTCATCAACTGCCAAAATCCCTGTCTGTGCCCCTGCCGACTGACGGTAAAGAAATAACCTTCACGTATTTAGACCCAAAATTAAAGTTTTCAAAGCTAAATACACGTTTACCATTGTCATCCATTGCAAATTAATTACATTAGTAGCTTAAATTCTCCAAAACATTACGGTTTTATTCACTTTTTAGACCAAATATTGCAGAAATAAAAGTACGTTCATAGTTCGTTAGACGGCTATGTCGTTGGTTTGGCCTGGTTTTTACAATTAAATTAGCAAAATTATATGTTTCCCAGTAATAAAAATGTGAAAGTACTTACCTTTCCATGGTTTCTCCTTCAAATCACAACAAATTTGATTCAAGAAAACTTATCAAAGGCGTGACAAAACCGGAGTCGGTTGGTTTGACAGCGTCCAATTTGAAGTGCCGATATTTTTTTTTTTACGGAGCAAAGAGTAACAGTAAAGCAGTTTGACACTGAGTATATATTATTAGTCTATGATTTCAAGTGTCGCACCTAAAAAACGCATCGTAGTTCCGTCGTAAAGAGCGCGAAAACATAAACAGGAAACGATGCCGACTGCTGGTCGGCTCACAGACGCGCAAATAATTTGACGTGCCGACTGCTGGTCGACGCACAGACAAGGGGATATGAACAATTTCATTAGCTGTTTATTTAACCTTTCCTGTTCAGATGGTGTAATTTTTTTCTCTGAGTGAATTGAGCAATTGTAGGTTGACGAACTAAAGCCTGCTGAATAACGCGTGGTTGTAGCAATGGATGACCCTCGGCTGAGTCACAAGCAGAAGAAACAACAACAGACGAAAGATTTTGGGATCCTGCTGGATTAGAAGGGCCAGCTTCCTGTTCCAAAGGTTGTTCCGAAATGTGTTGGTGCATCATATTCCTCCGTACATCTTGAATTTCAACCGTAGGGTGTTTTCTTAAAATATGTTCTAAAATATGTTGAGGAAGTTTTATAGGATAATTTTACCCTGCACAATTTACATACTGCTGTTTTTTCACCAACAGATTCAATGTCAAAATGTACCCATACGTTGGATGTTTTTCTTACAGTTGAAGCCATTTTTGAATATTTAGATACAAACTGAGAACATAGCACTAAACCTTTCTTGCCTATAAGATAGAAAAATATAATAAATAAGTCCCACCCACTGTAGAACGTTACGATACACAAAGTTTTTTTTACAAAGTACACAAAGTACTAAGTAAGTACCTAAACGCTAAATGTGTAAACTTGGTTTTAAAATCAATGATATAGGTAACTTCACTAAACTAAATTCACTATAACGTATCAAAAAGCCAATTATAGCGAGAACAGGTAACGTATTTCGTACGCGTGGTTGGTCGTCTTCGTCTAACCAAAACAATGATTCACGCGATACTAAATGCTAGATAAAATAGCATTCGTAATTTGCCGTGCTTTTCGCGCGCAAACGTAAACAACGCAAGTAAAAGCATTGTTTGTTGCCGTTCCGTGCAGTGTGCTGCGCACCCCCGCGCCGGTCATTTTATCGAAACTTGTAAGTTCTGTAACTTCAGCCAGTACCTATCCCCGATTGCAAAGTCTCGCAACGTCGCACGTCACACCGCAGCGCCCGAGGAGTCCCGAGACCGCCCGATCCGAATCACCGAAGCTCGCGTTCGTTCAAGAAATGATTTAAAAGCATTGATGATTTTGTCGTTGTCATTTCGTGATGACATGATTTTAAAATATCGATGATTTTTACCTGTGACATGATATCGGACTCACCTCTACTTCATAGGCGTGATTCTACTTACAGCTGTCGCAGAGATGAAGCTATCTTTTATGAACTATAGTAGGTAAGTTGCTTTACTATTTTAAATATCAAGCTCTTATGTAAATAAACTAACTTTTATTTTATTTTATTTCGATTAATTTATTTTATATACTGTCATTGTCATGTTGGATTTATTATTTTAAAATTGTTACTTTGATGAAATTTATTGATTGATCGACATTTTTTATTTATTTATAAAATTGTGTAGATTGCTTAATTTTTAATT